GGTGAGTTAGTTTATGCCCACAGTTGGTACGCTCTTTTAAGCCGTGATGTAGCAAGAGCCCTCCTCTCCCCGCACCCTACCGCAGTGGAATATGAAGAAAACTTGCGCGTATAGTACTACGAACAATATATCCGTCTACTTGACAGCTACCGGGGGAAAGGGAATTCCGTTGTCCAATCAGAGGCTTCAAATTGAGATATCACTGCAGAATTGCCAATGCTTATCAAGAAACAACTGAAATCTCAGTGCGCGTCGCTCCACTACTTCTTGGGATATGCACGAGCTAGAATATACTAAACGGAGTAAGTGGCTATCCCTATAGTTTCAGCACTCTTGGCGGAGGTTCGCCGAACTAGAGGCCTCCATGTTTTTTTGAAGTTAAAACATACGAGTGGCGGTGTCCGTAACCAACACCAAACGTAATACCAGAATACTTTGTTTCCCAGCGGGCGCTGCTTTGGAAAAGAAAAAAACGAAAAAAAACATGGCTTCAATTTGCTTCAAAGATGGAGGCGCTTTAGTCACTATATTCTAGCTCGTAGGATATGCATAGTCTGTGCGATTCTGTGTCGTCTACTGTTGTTTGCTCTTATTGCGGTTTGTTTCTTGCTACTGTTGTGATTTGATGCAAGAACGACCACTCGACTATGTATCTGACGCCCGAAAAGTGGCAACATCGCTCTACCCCCACTCTAACTGCCAAGAAATTTATTCCGACAATATACAGCTTTAATATATATTATATGAAGAAGCGACGGATTTGTTGCTCGCTGAACAGAAGATAGACAACAAACTCGCAACAACATTTGGTTTACAGACGAGCTACATTTCCATTTGAACGGCATGGTTAATAAACGAAATTTAGATTTTTAGACTATTTAAATACACATTCACTACATGAACGACAACATCACGCTCCGAGGATTACAGTGTGGGTCGCAATTTCCATTCACGGACTTACTGGACCCTTTTTCTTGAAGAGACTGAACGGTTAGGGTTATTTGCGCATGCTCCGCAATAGCTTTATTCCACAGCACAGATAGTGCCAAACAAAATGCAGTGGTTCATTCAAGATTGAGCAAGGCCACTCTGCAAAGTGTGTAGGCTTTCTTACACGAGCGTTTTCACTCACTCTCCCTAGTCCAATCTTAACTCGCGTGACTTCTTACTTTGGGGTATCTAAAGGAGAAAAAATCCAAAATGCCCACGTGACTTTACAGAGCTCACAAGACTTGAGGCCCATTCACAATGAAAATGTAAACATAAGCATAGCGCATATACATAAACATTAACATAAGCGATAGACTGAAGTATTCACAATGCCTAACATAAGCGTAAGCAAAACAAGTTTCTATGGGCTGTGAGACTTTCTGGTTGGATGTGAATCGATTTCAAGATATCGACTCTATTTCCCATATGGCGTTAGTTCTTCTATCGACTTCGCATCAATTTCGATTCTCGATTTTGAGTCACCTTTCTGTGATTGGTTCATTTCTTATGTATTCCGTAAGCAAAACAAAACAAAGCACAGAAACTTGAAGCTTGCAAGCTTTTAAGTTAACGTCTTATGTGTTATGCTAATGCGAACGCATTGTGAATGAGGCCGCTCCGTTCATAAGAACGAAGTCCTAACTTTTATGTCAACGCCATGCTTTTGTTTATGTTTGCATTGTGAATGGGCCTTTATACAAGCTTGAAGTGAAACTTGAAGACATGTCGTGAGGTTATCACTAACGTCAGTGTTTGCTTGCAGGAAGTTATGAATCAAAATGGTGGGCATATTGAGCACGTGCTGCCTTCGAACAATTCTCCAAAGAGTGTTTTCCATTGTAGTATTTGTTTTATACATTCTAGTTTCTATACATTTTTGATTCAACAACAAAATGGAGATTCATCTCGTGCTGTCTTCCCTTGGTGCATAAACACCAGTCTCTTTGCGGAGGTATCGGGAATTACGCGTCATTTCGTAACTCACTTGATTCTCCAAGCACTACTGCTATTACTATTTAGATGTTCAACAGGATATCTAGTGCGACTTATAAATTATGCAAGAAACAAATGGTAACTCATGTCATGCGCCACGCTGCATTTAAGAAGAGACCGCGAGATGATGTTGCATGACGGCATACTAGAGACCCACGGGCTTTCGGGTACGAGGATAATAAAGCTCAGGCAGTTACTCCGCTTTGTGTTTAAGGTCTCAGGCGATATACAAGAATCCGCCTAAGAATGAGCCAAAGTGATAGTTCTCTAAACAAGTGAACATCACATGAAAATCAGAGAACTATCCCTCCGCCGAGACAGCTGTTCAGACACGCCTCTTCGTAGTGTGGGCCCCGTTACAACATGGGTTTTCATGGTTCACAACAGAGTAAATATTTTTTTTAAAAAATAGATTGATAAAACGCAACCACGGTTCGTTTTCGACCCCAGTGGGCCACTTTAGTGCACAGGAGAAGGAAACTCGTGCGTCAGTACGCGTCTGACATTCAAAACTCGGTTTTCAAGTAAACATAACACTTATCTCACAAAAAGTAAATTCAACGTAGTGATTATATAAAAAATAATTTTTACAGAAGAGCACAGTAGCACTGCACTTAGTAATTTCAATTATTTCTCGCGATGAATTATATTTGCGTCCGACGGAGTCATCACAAAAGGAAGCGTCGAAGCCATTTACAAGTTTCCAACTGCAACCAAACGAATGAAGTGCCAAGGAGTGCTAAGGAGTGCCAAATGGGCTGAAGGACACGACGACCACAGAACTTTCAGTTTTGTTGCCAGCACTAGTTGTCAAAACGGTTCATTCTTATAAAAATTACTGTATAACAGTGGCGGTCGGTACAGAATTATATAGGTGGTGCGAGATAGTGACGCGACATCGATAACAAAACATCCAAGTAACGAATTATCGATCTTCAGAACTAAAAAAGAGATGTTAATAAAACAATAAAAACTGTATTTTTTAAACATCGATGCTTTAAATCTGGTTTAATAATTTTTAGCATTAAATTCTTGATCAACAAAATTTAGTGTAAGTGACCGTGTTTATTAATTCATTATGAACTTTAATTAAAAACAATAAGAACAAAAAAATGCTCAGCCTGAGCGCCCACAATCTCAAGAGATCAGTACTCTTTGGGAAAGAATGTAAAAAACTGCGACAAATCGATTTTGGCTCCGTCTCATCCATACGACACTTAGGGCCGGGTTCACCAACAGCCGAGTAAAGTCGAGAGTAGTTACCCGAGAGCATTTACTCTAAGATAGTAACTCTCGAGTAGAATATGAGCGTTTCACCATGCTTCTACAGGGTTAT